CTTGAGAAACCAAGACATCGCAGGTCTGGGTTGGCGGATCTTGCGTTTCTGCGGCACGGTGAGGTCTAGGGCCTCTGGGCGCCAGTAGCCTGCGCAGGCGGCGTCTCGCGCGTTCTGAGCCTTCCTGCGGTTGCGTTCTTCTCAGGAGGGAAAGAAACACACAGACACAATTCATCGTCGACTCCCAGGAAAATGATGGGAAACTATGGGAAGTGGGGGGGAAGACAAAAAAACCCAGGAAATACATGAAAATATGGGGAATCCTGGGATTTGTGTGTATTTACTTGTGTGTCCCTGGGCCCCTTCATGTTCCTCGGTCCTCACGGCAGTTCCGCTGGCCCGCCTCGCCGAAACGCATTGCTTGGAGGAGTGCCTGCCTCCTGTTCCCTGCGGCCCCTCCGCAGCTGCGCTGGGAAGACACTGGATTCCTCTTCTCGGAAATTGGAACATATACATTACCAGTGGTGGGCGGTTTTTCAATCCCAGGACTTCTTGAGTGTCGAGAACGACGCGGGGTGTGTGTGTGTGTGTGGTGTATACTGTTTTCCCCGATGTCCCGGGGAAGCGACGAAACATTTATTCACCAGGGTCCCGTATACATCAGGCTGCAAGGTTCTGCACCCTGACCTGGGTCAATGCGAAGGATCCGCTCTCCAGTCCAATTTCCAATTCAGGGCCGGAAGAAGCGTTGGTGTATAGAGTTCGATTCTTTCTATCTTCCTCATCTGGGAGCTCAATTTTTGTCGCCTTCAACCGCCGTCTTCGTGCCCAGCCTCACATGGGCCAACACCCCGCAGCTGTTTTGGCACGAGCATCGTGCCTCCCTCCCCCCCTTCCTCCCCCTCCTCGCCCTCCGCCAGAATTCTCTTCCGCCCTTCTCGCCGTCTATCCGGCTTCTTCTCGAAGAAGATAAAACGGCATTGACATCAACGGTCGGTGCTTCGCGCTGATTCTCTGGGGCACACTGGCGGCGCCTCGGGCACCGCCATTGGCATGCTCCGCGCGCCAGTGAGGGGGTCCTAGCGCCGATCCGAGAAATCCATGCCGTTTTCCGAAAGTTGATGCTCATGTTTCTTTGTTTCTTCATCCATCTTCCCACCTCCACCCTCCTGTTCTTTTTCCTCCTGCTTCTGGTCCTCCTCCCTTCTCTCCCCCTCCGTCTCTCGGAGGCCTCGAAGGGAGGCAGAACGGTGTTCTTGCCGTTTCGAGGACCGTCTTCGTTTCGACTTCGCTCTGCAGCAATGGTGGGACGAAGACAGAACGAGGGAAAGCGACAACAAGACGAACACGCAAACGCTGCTTCAGTCGAGCCCTGAGTGGAGAGGGATGGGAACGTCAACTTACACCTGCAGTGCGCAAGGACCTTGCTTCGCGGGCTGGGCCGGAGAGTCATCCTCCGCCGCGGGAGCGGCGCATGTCGCGCAGAGAGCAGAGCACACGGAGCCCGGTGACCTGACGGGGTTTGGGCGTTGCATGATGGGGGGGTCATAGATGGGGGGTGGCAAGGGTGGTCCGAAAAGGTACCCAAACGGCACCTAAACGAGCCCCCTGGGGCTCCAGAGGGGCCCGAAAGGGGCACGAAAGGGGACCGTTTCTGACCCCCCCATTTATGACCCCCCCGTTAAGCCACGCCCAAGGGGTCTGTGCAGGCCTCCAGATGTCTCGAGAGAGTCCCCGGACGTGCTGGGAGGCACCCACAGGTTCCCAGAGGCTTCGCGAGGCTGACAAGGTTTTGGGTTAGGGCTGGCCTATAATAATCAGGCCCTCCGAGTAGTCTGGGGTGGTCTCAACACCCTGGCGCCGACTCCGGGGACTACCTTGGGAGGCAGTTTGCGCGCATCCCGAAGCTTTCCTACGCGAGGCATCCCGAGGTCAGAAGACCTGCGGATCCTCGAACGTGGAAGTGTTTGTTGGTCTGCACGTTGTGATGTTGTGTCGATGTTGCGGATTGTGTTGGCAAGTATTTCTCTTTTGCACATCGTGTTGTATGGTAAGGTTGCGGCCTTGCCACATGCAGTGCGTTTCCCGTGGAGGTCCCTCGATGTGCTCGCGCGAGGCCGAGTGGCGGTGATGCGCGGCGCGACCCGTTTGCCTCTGTGAACGATCGGGCTGTTCAGAGGATTCCGCATCAGTAGCAGCGCGGTTGCTGCGGCATTGCATCACTACCTCTTTGGTCGGCGCGTGGCGTGCTTCGCCTGCCAGCTGCGCGTGTCCTGCACGGGCCGGCAGCCCCCGCGCAGCGGTGCTCCCCGCGACGTGATGGGGCCGCTTCTGCACGGCCCTGCGCTCGCCGCCGCTCGTCCATGCTGGCAGAACGCCTCTGCGTGACGACGCCTCCTCCACCTCCTCCTCCTCCTCCTCCCCCTCCTCCTCCTCCTCCTCCTCCTCCTCCTCCTCCTCCTCCTCCTCCTCCTTCCAGTAGCGTCCAGCATGCCTCTAAGTTTGTTTCTTCTGGGTGCGCCGTGGCCCCCGCTCCCTCTGTCCCCGCTCTGCGGCATGCCGAATGTTTGGGATGTCGTTCCACGTTTTGTTCGCGTGTCGTTTGCGCGTGCCGAGCTGTTCCATGCGTGGTTCATTTGTTGTTCGCTTCTCGCCCGACCTGTTTCCGTTGTCCTCCTCAATTCGCATTGTGTTTTGTTGTTGGTTTGATTGTGTGCGCATCTCAAAGTGGAGGGCCCGTGGAGGGCGCGACTTCTTTGACTAATCAGACGCATCTCGGTCGCGCGTAGAACATCGGCCCTTTGTGTTGTGCCGATGTGCTCGCAGTGAGCTTTGCGCCACGCGATTTCGCAACACTCGGCGTAACAAGTGTTCGAGCACCGCCAAGAGAGCTACGTCGGTTCGGGGTATCTTCTTTCGTCTGCGTCGTCGCCTTAGTTGGCCCGGATCCCGCAGGTCACAGGTTCCAAATGGACTTGCATGTCTCGAAGGTTCAACAGATCCCGCAGGTCCCACAGGTCTTCGCTTGTCCCACATGTCTTCGCTGGACCCACAGGTCACACAGGTCCGCCAGGTCACACAGGTCCCCCAGGTTCCACAGGCCCCACACGTCCCACAGGTCCCACAGGTTTTGCAGTTCTCGCAGTTCCCGCAGATCCCCCAGGTCCCGCAGGTCCAGCAGGTCCCACATTTTGTACAGGTCCCCCAAGTCCCGCAGATCCAACAGGTCGCACAGGTCCCACAGGTCCCGCAGATCCCACACATCCCACTCATCCCACAAGCTCAACAGATCCCAGAGTTCCCACATGTCCCACAGGTCTCACATGTCAGACAGGTCACACGGGTCACAATTGTCGTCGCAAGTCCCATCGGTGCTAGAGGTTTCGCAGATCATGCAGGTCACAAGGGTCACAAATGTCATCGGAAGTCCCACAGGTTCCACAGGTTTCGCAGGTCACGCAGATCCCACAGATCACGCATATGCCCCTGGTCTTACATAGTTCGCAGCTCCCGCAGATCCATCGGCCCCACAGATCCAGCAGGTCCTACAGGTCAGATCTCACAGGCCTCGCAGTTCCCACAGGCCTCACAAGTCCCAAAAATCTCAGAGGACCCGCAGGTCCCACATGAAGGCCCGACAATTCCAGCAGGTCCCACTGGGTCCCACAGGCGCCACAGGTCCCACAGATCCCGATGGCCCCGCAGGTCCCACAGCTCTCACAGTTCCCACAGGTCCCATGGGTCCCACAAGTCCCACAGGTCCGACGGGTTTGCAGGTTTAGAAGGTTCCACAAGTCCCGCAGGTCTCACAGGTCTCACATGTCAAGGATCGGGCGCGCTTTGCGCTGCGCGGAGTGCAGCATTGGGTACGAGCGTGAGTGCGAAACAGCACACCGAAAATTTGGAAGGCAGCCCGCCCCAGATTTTTCCTGTGAATTAGCGGAGGCGGTGTCTTCCATCGTGGCCGCCGAATGCCGATGGGTGCGCAGTTTCGTGCGGTGCCGACGCGGCAGCGCCCCATCCCGGCGCGTGCATTCCACTGGACGCCCCCAGTGGCCCGGAGCCCGCCGACATCGGACGATCTGCGCCGTCGGGAATTCGCGATCGTCCGAGGTAGAACGATACGCGCGGCGCCAGAAACCAACGCCGACGACCTCGCGACGTGAGCCTGCCAACAGGTCCACGTCTTGACGACGTCGGCAGCTTCCCGACAGCGCAGTCGTCCGTTGCCAGCCAGCTCCTGGCCACCAGCTGCGCGCAACCCCTGGATGCTCGCGCTGGGCGTCGTTGCCGCGTCGCATTGTCGCACCTCTTGATCGAGGAACGTATGCAATACATAAGTGTTCGGAGGCACGGGCGGACTCCTTGGATCGGCGCTGGACCCACTTCCTTGGCGTGCTGCGCGCCAGGGGCGTTGCTGGAGGCGCGGCCAGTGGGGCCTACTGCCAATTAACACAACATTGAGCGGACCTAGGAGCATGTATGTTTGTTGCAGCTCCTACTTTCTCTTGGGACCTCGATCCTCGAAGCCCCCCTTCGAGGCACCCCTGAGCACCCAAGCCCGCTGCCCCCCTCCCATCACCATCACCATCACCATCACACGCGCGGGGCCACGTCCGCGGCCCTGGTGCGTTGAGCATGGCAGATGCACCGCCCTCCAAAAGCGTAGGTTGACCGTGCCAACAGCCTCCAGATAGTTCTGTGTCAAATGCAGGGCCCACTGCTGCAAGTGTTTGCAAGAAAGACTGCGCACAGCTCCCACATGACAATCGGACACCATTGCGCTAAGGGTGTGCGTGTCATGTTGTCCGGTAGTAAATCAAGCAAGCCTTGCATACCAACGGAATTTGGCTTTTTGAGTGCTGTCGCGTCGGGTGATCGACGGGATAGCGTCGAATTGACGTCGATTGACTTCGATTTTGCGTCGACTAGCGTCGATTCGCGAGAGCCAAGAGGATGGTATGGCAGGCTCCCGTGCTCTGCCGCCGAGGTATCGTATCCCTCCCCTCCGCTCGCGGCACCCCTCCGCACCAGAGCCCCCCCCCCCGGGCGCGCACGGCATGATCCGGCCCGGGACCTCCCTGACCAAGCAGAAGCAGAGGGCGCGCGCAGCGGCACCGAAGGGGCCGCCGGGGAAGAAGCAGGACTCCCAGCCTTCCCTCCGCACGGGCAGCTCCCCATGGCAGTCCCGGCTGGAATCAACATGACCACCGAGTAGTCCCAGTTGTCGTCCCCTGAGATCTTGGCGTTGCAATCTTTTCGCCACAGGCGATTTGGCCCACCTTCGGGCCCAGGGACCCTCACAGATCGATCCAGCTCGGGAAACTTCGCAGAAGGATGAGGTCCTGGGCTCCAATGGTGATTCTGTGCGATGTTCCAGGTTGTTTTTGCAACGTCGGTTCGCCGGGTCAACGGGCCTCGGGGCGACTCATGGGCGAATCAGAGGCAACGTTAGGGTGGAATAGGCTCAAGGGACGGACGTATCGACCCCCAATCGCCCATTCATCGCCGATGGGGGCCAGATAGCCCGTCCCGCCCAGGATCGTGCGGATGCACTATCGCTGGCCTATCGCCGACCTATCGGCGATTGCAAGTCGATGACTCCCTCTGAGCTGGTCCCCCCCTCACGGTGCCCTTTTGCTGAAAACAAGTCCATGCGTCCACGGCCTCGTTGGCCCTTTTTGTGCCACGACCCCGCGGATGCGGGGGCATTTTTCCGCGGATGCCCAGGGCGGAACGTATCTCAGGCAGGCCTTGAGTCGAGATAAGCCGGCCCAGAGTTTTCCAGAATGCTCTCAGAGCGTTCTGGAACGCTCCCGAAGTCCAGACCGCGAGGGTGCAGATACAGATGCGTTTGCCGCGCGTGAGCGGGACCAGAAAGCAAAAGTGCGACGGTTGGGTTTTCTGTACGCGCTCGGTCTCCCCTGGAGGCTGCCCCCGACCTGGGGACCGTAAGAAGAAATTGCCTCGAAGGAGAAAGTCTGGCCTTCCTGTGGGCGCTACGTAGATGTTAGGAGGCCGCCCGGTATTCCCGGCCTGCCTTGGGGAGGAGCTACAGAAGCCAGAGCTCCAAGACTTCCTCAAGGCGTGCGACTACGTGGGCGCCATCGCGGCAGGCTCGGCTCCAGCGCTGGCCTGGGTCCGAGCGCCAAGTGCCATCTTTGTCCCTCGTTCTCTCGTCGTCTTCTCCTGTTCTTCTCCCCATCATCCTATCGTCTCTCCTCTGTTCTCCCCCCAATCCTTCTCATGCCCTGCTCGCCTTTCAGCCTGGACCGCCCTCCGCATGACTTGCGTGCGTGGCCACCTCGGAGAATCGCCCCTAGCATCGCTCCATATCACCCCCTGGTTCACTAGCCGTGTAAGTTTTCGTTTTGGCACACGCGTGCAAGATCTTCACGGTCTGAGCCTGCTCCGCCGCCCGCTTGTTCTTCCGCCACCGCGTCTTTTCCTCTTCCCTCGCGTGCCTAATTGCCACGTGTGCGTCAGGCCGTTGCTCTGACCACGTCTTGGACCCAAGGCGCCGCCGACATCGAAAAACATTCCCTGCTCATATTTTCTCCCCCTCTCCTCCTCTGCCCTTTATCAGGTTCCTTGCCCCCTCCTGTTTCTCTCTCTCTCTCTCTGTCCCTCACTCTCACCCTCCCTTATCCAGTTCCATCGGGTTCTCTCGTTTTACCTCTCTTTCCCTCTCTCTTCCTCTCCCTCTCTCCCTCTCTCTTTCTATCTCTCCCTCTCTCTCTCTCTCTCTTTGGACCTCCTCTCCCGCTCTGCCTTTTCGTGGCCATGTCGGCAACGTACGACACGAACAGTTTCCTGCACATGCAAGTTAGAAAGTCACAGGCAAGCTGTTGTACTTGAGTGAGGTCTGTTCCAGCCCATCCAGTTGTTCAACCATTCGTATCATCTACGTCCTCTGCCCTTTACATCACAATCATCACGTGGTATCAGCTCCCATCTGTCATCTGTTCCGTTGTATCCATCCTTTCCTATGTTCATATCTCGTACGTTTGTTTGTTTAGTTTCTTCCCTCGCTCACCCCTGCGCCCCTTGTGAATTGCTTTTTCCTCCTGTTATGAGTGATGCCCCTTTGAATATCCCACTTCTGCCTAGCCCCTTCCTGATACATACACACATCTAATACATGTATATAAACGTTTGCAGTCGATTTTGGGGCAAAGGGGTGAGCGGGTCGATCGACCTCGCCAGCCGATCATGGCAAGCATGGCAGGTGTTTCGGATTCGAGACGTTTCGCCCTCCAGGAGGGCATGTCTTCCGCGGGGAGTGGCCTCCGATGCCTCTGGCGGCAGGCTGGGGAGCCCCGCCGCCGTCTCTTGGTGATTCCGCGGCGGGCGCGGCTGCAGGCGGCGCTGGGTTGCCCCCCGCGGGCGCGCGGGAGTCGAGCCCGCCGGCGGCGGGCGCCGCGGCTGGCGAGGCAGGCCCCCAGCGGCGACGGTCGGCCTGGCCGCTGAGGCTGTCCCCCAGTAGCGGGGGCCGCTCCTCAGCGCAACGGGGCTGGGGCGCTGCCCGCCGCCGAGGCCTGCAGGGGGCAGCGCAGCTGGTGCCAGGGCCAACTCGGCCCCCACGAGAGCCGCGCCCTCGCGACCGAGGGCGAGTTCCTCAAGGTGCGCGAGCTGCTCACGCTCGCCACCCAGTAGCCTACTGCGCGCGGCTCTCGCCTGGCGAGCGGGCCGCCGTGGTAGGAGCTCACCGCGCTGCTGGCGGGGCTCGCGGGTTTGGCCGACGCAAAGCATGCCGCCCAAGGCCGGGGTGGCGCGGCGCCCCTAGCGCCTGGGGCCCTCGCGGCGCCGCCCGAGGCCCCCGCGTCCGCTGGGCCGCTCGCTGGAGGCCCAGCTGGAACCGCCGGCGGGGGAGCCGCCGTGCTGCCTGGGCTGCCGCCCCTGGGAGGCGGGCTCCCCGCCCTTGCCTGGCTGCGTGTCCGCCGCCGCCCGCCGCGGGCGCTGGGGCGGCACTTGCGCCCGCAGGCGTCCTGCACCGTGGGGGCAGCGCTGATCGCAGCGCTCGGCGCGAGGGGGGGGCGCGGCCGGTGCGCCAGCAAAACCCCCAGCTGCGGCCGCGGGGTCAGCCCCGCCCGCGGCTGCCCCCGGCCTGGGCGTTGGCCTCGCCGCGACCGCGTGGGCAGCAGCGGGGCTGGACGGTCTGGTCCGCCCATGGACCCCCGCTGGCGTGTCGTCCCCGCGCGCGGCGAAGACAGCGCGATCAATCGCACCGCGATCTTAGTTTTTGAGGTCGAGGACGAGGAGCAGCCAGGGCCCGCTGGCCTCCATCTCGGGGCCCAGTTCCGGGGTGCGTCTCTGGCCGCCGAGGCGCTGGCCCTGGATGCCCACTTCCCTCCGCGCGGCGGGGGGCCGCGTGGGCCCCTCCACTTCAGCGAGGGTGGCTTCGCGGGGTGCATGGGGCATCTTCTCGGCCGCCATTCTGGTCGAGCCCCGGGCGCGCCCCGCGGATTTCGGCGATCGCGCCGGCGTCGCCGGAGGCCGCGGGGGTGCTGCGGCTAGCCCCGCAGCTGCTGGAGGGCGGCTTTTGCTGCAGCTGCTGCTCGCTGGCGCGCGCCCTGGCCGACGGTGCCCCTGGCGCAGGTGGCGCCCGCGGGCGGCGCCGCCGGCGCAGCCCCTCTGCCGAGCGCGAAGATGATGATGACGATGCCGATGGACTGGCGCAGCAGCGCCAGGCCGTTGGCGGAGTCGCGCCCTGGCGCGCCGTGCGACGAGGCGATGCAGAACATCGCGCGCGTCGCGGGCCTGTGGGAGGGGGCGCGCGGCAGCGAGCCTCGGGCCAAGGTCATGGCCAACATGGTGGCGACAGTCTTCGGCTATGACCCCGTCCGCTGCAGGCGCTGGCGACGGCCCTGGGCCTGACTCGAGAGCGGCAGCCTGGCGGAGCTCTCCGACGTCCTGATGCAGTGCTTCATCGAGGCTCTCGAGCTCAGCCTTGGGGTCGCGAGCTGGCAGGAGGCGGGGGGCTGGAGGTCGCGGGGGGCGCGCGCCCGGCCTTGACGTCGCTGGGCGAGCAGGGCGTAGCACGGCGGCGGCTATGTGTCGGCGGCGGCCGCGGGGCCAGCGGTCGGGGCCGCGGCTCGAGCCGTCAATTGGCGGAGCTAGCGCTCGCGGAGCCTCCCCGGCTCGAGCCCAAGCTGACGGGCCTGCGAGCCCAGCGCAGGGGCCCAGCCAGGTGGGAGCGACGCGGGCGCGGCAGGCCCTCGCAGGAGCGCCGTTCGCCGAGCCGGCCCTCGTGCCCGCGGCCAGGCGAGGGGGCCGCGGGGGCCGCGGCCGCTCTGGCCAGCCCCCGCAGGTCGGCTCCCTGGGCTCGCCGGGCAAGGACAGCCATCGGGCCGCGCGGGCCACGACCCTCGGCGAGCTCGTGGACGGCGTCGAAGGCATCCGTCGCTCCCCCGAGGGATACCTGACTGACAGAGGCAACCAGTCCCGTGTTCTGGGTGCCGGGCAAGCGCGGCGCCAGCACGAGGCTCATGGAGATCCTGTTCGGTCGCCGGGCGCGGGCCCACACCTTCTGACGCTCTCTGGCGCCGAGCTTCGCCCGCGCTTGGCGCTGGCTGGTGGGCTCGCGGATGGGGGGGCGCGCCAGCCTGGGCGTTGCCGAGGGCCCGCTGTTCCCCCCGGCGCTCTCCGCCTTTTGCGCGGCAGACTTCGTGCTGAAGATCAACCGCCTCGTCGCGGCCTCGGGCGCTTCGGAGACGGCGGGCGCGGTGGTCTGCGCCGCGGGGCTCTCTGCGCGTCAGGCGCAGCTGGCCGCCCACCGCCGGCGGCCGTGCAACCCCATTTGCGAGGGGGGGGCGGCCCTCATCGCCCTGTTCGATGGCGTCGGCGGGGGGCGGCGCTCCCTGGAGATCCCGGGCCGCGCGCCGGCGATCCATCTCTCCTGCGACATCGCCGCCGCCGCCGGTCGCGCGGCCGGGCGCACCTGCCCGAGCCAGGTAGACCTTGGCGACGCGAGCGCCGCCGACCCGCGGGAGTCGGCCAAGCGCGCGAGGAATCGGGGCCGCATCTCGCGGGTTCTGGTCATGAGTGGCCCCCCGTGCCAGGGCCACGCCGCGCTGAACGTCGATCGGAAGGGCTTGGAGGACATTCGAGCTGGCCCAGCCCGGCTTCTGAAGCGGATCGCCGACGGCCTCGGGGGGCAGCTCCCCGAGGCCCGCGTCGACTTCCCGGGCGAGAACGTCGGCTCGACAATGGAGCGCGGCGCGATGAATCTCAACGGTTACTTCGGAGATCCCTTACCTGATCGAGGCCGGTGACATCGGCTGGGCGAGGCGCCCCAGGCTGTATTGGTGTTTATGGGGCTCGTTGCCGAACCACGAGTCGAGCTCCGAGGTCGCCATGTCGAAGCTAGTGGGCGGCGTTCGGCGCGCTTGGCGGGCCCGCCTCCATGGTCGACGACCGCCCCTGGAGGAATGGCTGCCGGCTTGCGCTCGCTGCCCTGGGGTCGAGCCGCCGCCCGCTTTCGCGCGGTGGGCTCCGAGGAAGCAGCCGAGGCCGCGGCCCGCATGAATCCTAGAGTTCAACGAGGCCGAGCTCGCGCGCAGGGCGGACGCGGGCAACGTGGCGCCCCCGCACCAGTCCAGCGACAAGCGGTGCCTGCGCGCGGCGGACGGCCAGGTTGCACCTCCGCTGGCCTCGGCGATCGAACTGCCCATGGGCTTCCCCGAGAGCCGCGCCGCGCCGCGCATGCCGAGCGGCGCTGCGAAGGTCGAGCCCGACAAGTACGAGGCCCTGCGGAGGTCCCTTGTCGGCAACTCCTGCCGCTGCGAGGTGGCGGCTTGGCTCGCAAGCCACTGGGCGGTGACCGCTGGCCTGCTCGCGGCAGCCCCCGCGCTCTCGGAGTTGCGCGAGAGTGCCCGCGCCGGGGCCAGGTGGCCCCGTGCACGTCGGCCGCGGATCGCGGAGCCTTGGCGCTCCGATCTCGCCCCGGGCCAACGCCTTCCACGTGGCCGAGAGCTACCCCCGCCAGGAGGCCGCGGCACTCCACCCCTCCGGGCCCCGCTCGCAGCCGCAGCTGCTCGAGGGGCTGGGCGAGCCCGCGGGCCGACGACTCCTGTGCCATTGCGGGCCTGAGGATCCTCCTGGCGGAGCTGCCCAAGGACGACCAGGTCGAGTGGCGCGACTGTGACGCCTCGTCCGGGCGTGTCATGGTGCTGGTCATGACATGCCACCGCAACGTGGCCGATTTGAGAACTGCCGGCAGTTCCGACGCGATGGGGGAGGTCTTCCCGCGGCAAGAGATTGACGCAGGCATGCGTCAGTGGCGAAAGGCAAGGCGAGTGATCTGTGAAAGCGCGGAGCACTTTAAGCCAGTGCGCGCTGATGGTGATGCGGTGGCGATCTCGAGCTGCGGCGCGCCACGAGTCTGTCTTGATGCACCTCCGCGACTCGACGGTCAACCTCGGCACGCTGTTGGAGCGCTGGTCCAGCGCAGGCAGCTCAATAAGGTGGCGGGCAGTATCTCTGCTTCGGAACTGGCGACGGGGGCGCGGGCGGCCCTCGGCTTCGCGCGCCTGCCCCGCAACCCCGCTGACGCCCCGTCACGCATGCAGGACGGCTGAGCATGCTTGGCCCGCCGATCGCCGCGCCATCCGATCTGGCCGCGGACGTCTGAGCGATGCTAGAAGCGGCGCCAAGTTTGTTGACTGCCGCCGCCGTTCACATGCCACCGCCGATGGACCCGGACGAAAACGAGCTGACCCTTCAAGATTATCTTGAAGATCTGCTGGCGCAAGGCCCCGCCAAGGGCCAGGCGAACGATGCATTGATCGGCGCCCTGCATCTCCTGAAGACCGGGGGGCAGATGCCCGGAGCTTGGGCGCCTCGAGGTTCCCTCTCGAGCCCCGCCCACGCCGCCTGTTGCGTGCCTGGCGCTCGCGGGCTGGGCCGTGGTAGCGGATGAGCTGGCCTCCGCGTCGGTCGGATGGCCGCCTTCCACCTCTGCCGCCGCGCTGGGGGGGCCGTCAACCCTTGCGGGCCCTTCATTTCCTTGCGCCCAGACCGACGCGGCGTCGTCGGCTTCCCTTGGACGAAGACATCGCGCCAAAAAGATGCCCGTGAAAAAGTGTCCGGCGATCCCTATGTGGGGCCAATGTCCACTGGCAGTTGCGCCAAGACCTGTCTGCCCGCCTGTGGCCCCTCAGGATTCGCGCGTTTCATCAGTTGTTTCGCCGAGCCCTGCATGAGATCAGGTGCAGTCATTTCAAGCTCTCGCCTTCTAGTCTGCGGCGAGGAGGGGTCACCCACGAGTTTCTGTCCATGTATGTCTGCACGCGCGTTGTAGCACTGCGGGTATCTGGTCCGCCCTCTTCTGGCGCACCCGACCACGACTTGTCATCCGTGCATCGTGATGCTCATCTTTTTTGTGTACGGTCATTGTCTTCAGTTGTCGCCATGGTCCCCATCTGCATATGTGAACCGGTTTCCTAGTTACGGTGATCCGTTATGTGTGTGTACCTTTTCCGATACATATTGCCATGCATCTTGAGGTTCGCCACCGCTGGCGCCACCGACCTGCGTAAGCTATGCCATCACATGCTTGCCAACGTCCGCTATAATCCCTTTTTGTTGTGTTGTCTCAACTCGCGAGTCTCACATCTCGATGTCTGTATATACATATATATATGCATGTATATGCAAACACATATACGTATACACACCCCCCCGCTATTCATACATACGCATGTGTGCATACGTACCCACACGCGCATGTTTCCGCCACCCTGTCCTCCCCCAGTGGTGTTCCTCTTTTTGTTAGTTGTTCTCTTTTTCGCATCCTCACCACAGTCGCCCCCTTATGTATTTTTCGTGCGAGTGCCATGCTCATCAAAATCACACTCATCACCGCCATCGCAATCACCATCACCAGTCATCGTCATCATCGGTATCCGCCCGTCCCTTCTTCTACTAGTACTCTCTGCCGCTGCTTCTTCCCCTGCACTTGCCAGAGGATGTCAGACCCCCCTTTTGCTGCCAGGAGGATCCCGCGTCGGGCTGTGGGTAGCAGGGCTCGTAGAGAACCTCCTGCAACGCCTCACCCCCCCCGCAGTTTTTTCGATGGCCGTGGGCCCCCCCCGGCCCCCCCCCTGCCCCAGGCCCCATGCAGGCCTCTGCGGGTGAAGGGCCCGCATCCATATTTTCGCAAAGGCACTTGGAAACCCACGGCCTCCTGCATAGGGGCGGCCGTTCGGTCTCGCCCCCAACGGGCGAAACCTTAACGTCCTCACCTTCACCCTGACTTTTCATCCGCCCGTTCCTCTTCCATCCGTTCATCCTCCTCCCCCTCCTCCTCCTCCTCCTCCTCCTCCTCCTCATCCTCCTTCTCCACCCCTCTTCTTCCTTCTCCTCCTCCCGTGTTCCTCATTCCTCCTCCCCCCTTTCCTGCTCCTCATCATCATCCTCTTTTTCCGCCTCCTCCTCCACCTCCGCCCCCCCTTCTTCTCACGCCTTTTCCTCCCGCTTTCTCCCTTCCCACCTTGCCCAGACTCCTTTCCCCCCCCCCCCCTGAACTACCCCCGGGCCGGCACTGGAGCTCGGCCCTGCCGGCCGTCACTCTCCTCGAGTTCGACAGGCGGGCCAAGGAGGAGCGCCCGGCGCATCCGTGCGCGAGGCGGGGAGCAAGCAATCACATAAGCATGCCCCGGACAGGAGGATGCCCCCACGAGGGGAGCAAGCAATGCCATAAACATACAGACTCAGAGGCTGCCCCCCCCGACCGTAAAATGGCCCCGATCGGAGGATGTCCCCCCGAAGGGAGCAAGCAATGCCATAAACATAAAAACTCGTAGGCTCGCGTGGATTATTCGGATCAGCGCTGGGCCACCCGTGGCCGCGCGCTTCTGGCGCCGCCCCTGGCGCCGCCCCTGGCGCCAGCGAGGGGGGTTAGCGCCGATCCGAGAAATCCGCGCGGACCTCCGAGATGTTACGTTTATGCCATTGTTTGCTCTCCAAGGTGGGGTGGCATCCTCCGACCAGGGTCCTGGAGGGGGGGCAGACAGCTCGAACGGCTGGGGCCAGTTCGGGACGGTACGTTTTCCAGCGGGTTCGTATCCTTCGTTCGACTAGACGTAAGAGTGACCTTTCGCCGGAGTGACCTTTGGTGCGGGCCCAATGGGGTGCCCCGATCGCCGAACGCGAGGCGGCGGAGGCGCCTTGCGCGCTTGCTTTTGGTCCCCCCGCGGCCCCCGAAAAGCCGCGCACGAAAGGTCACTCTTACCCAGGGTCACTCTTGTGCGTAGCCGATTCGTCATCTGGCTTCTCTCTTCTCCTCCCGTTTCCCTCCTCGTCCCCATTCCTCGGTACGGCTCTCTCGAACCCCAGGGCCACATTCGGCCGCCCTGGTGTTCGAACGGCTTGCGATGGGCCAGGAACGCTGTATGTCAATCAGTGGCGAAGCGTCCTAGCTCGCCTGCAGGCCCACCACACAATGTTCTAGTAACCTTTTGTGGTGTGCACGAAATGTTCTTAGAACGTTTCTGGCCGGGACTGCTTCGTTTTAACACATGGGGTTATGTTATAAGAACATTGTTTTTGTCCTTAAGAACATTTCGTGGTAGGCCTATAGGAATGCCGGGACGGTCGGTCCCTGCTCAAGTATGGCGTCGGCATCGTTTGACCGACCCCCGTCCTCAGCCGCATCCAGAGCCCGACCATCTCATTATCCCAGCTGTGAATATGCCGCTCGAAACCCGAAGGGATCAGCCTGTCTGAAGGGGTAGATCAGCCAGTGGGGCCAGGCGTGGGGAATAGGGGTCGGCTAAATGGTGCTGGTTGAGTGAGTGGCCACGTAAACCGCAAAGACATCAATTTTCGGAAGATTCGCGCTGACGTCCTGGATCGTCGCTGGAAACCCCCATCACTCCTTGTGCGCTCCTCCATGGAATCCCCAGAGTCCCAGAACTCCTTGATACTGCTCAGACCTCCTGTCGCCTACAACCGGGGGGTGCCAAATCAGAGTGAAGGAAGATGCTCAAAGGCCTTACACCATCCCTGAGTGCGTGGGTGAAGTTGGATTCCGTGGCCAAGAATTATGTTTGTTCTCACCAGTGGTTTTGGATCTTCGTTTTGAAGAGACAGCGCTCCGCGTCACCTTCCTCCTTGTCCCCCCTCCCTCATCTCATCCTTGCCTTCCACATGGCCCTGATTCGGAACATCCCTCACAAATTTTGTGATCTCATGGGGAGCTCCACCGAAGGCCCCAGTGGCAAGGCTCGTATGGGTCTCCCCCCCATTACAGCGTTTCGTGGCCCACAGGGAGCTCCACCAAAGGCCCCAATGGAAATGTTCGCATGCGTCTCCCCCACCCAGTACAGCTTGGCCCATTGGGAGCTCCACCGAGAGGCCCAGTGGCAAAGTTCGCATGCGTCTCCCCCACCCAGTACAGCGTTTTGTGGCCAATAGGGGGCTCCACCGACGGCCAGAGTAGCAAAGTTCGCACGCGCCTCCCCCAGCCAGTACATCGTTGCGGTGCACACGGGGAGATCCACCGAAGACGATACCCACAATTGCGGCATTCACAATTTCACATGGTTGGTTCGTTTACCATGATAATTGATAATATGCTGTTGTCGTTGTCCCCCCCGCAACCCACCCGCGACCCATCATGCGACCCACCCCGCGACGCATCCGCGACCCACCCGCGATCACCCCGCGCCCGCCCCCTTACTCGTATCTGCTATTGCGGGGTGCTACGGACGATATCCACATTCACCGCCCGCCGACGCCCCCGAAGCTCGATCCCGCGGGCGGTGGTTATGGATGAATGCCCGTCTTGCAGTTGGTTCTCGGTCGGAGGAGGGTGTCGTCGGCTTTTAGGTGTCTTTTTCGCTTTGGGACACTTTGCAGCAGCTGCGCCTCGTCGGACGTTTTCCGGAGGTGCCAGGCTCGTCCCAACTGGCCGCCAGGAGGCGAAAGCCACGGCCCGAAAGCCACCCGGCTTCGAAGAGGTGAGGGGGGGTTGTAGTCGAGGTCCATTTGTCTTGCAGTCGAGGCGAGGGGGGATGGCAGGTCGACCTTCGTGTCCGGTGTTTCGCGACCCATGCCTTCTGCATTCCTGTGGCAGTGCGGCCCTCGGAGGGCTCCTGTGTTCTCTCGCGTGTCATCTCGGATCAACCTCGACTGTAAGGGTGTGTGCACACTTCCCCCCGTCCGCGCACACGTCCTCGTCCTCCCCCTCCTCCTCCTCCTCCTCCTCTTCCTCCTCCTGCTCCTCCTCCTCCTCCTCCTCCTCCTCGTCCTCGTCCTCGTCTTCCCCCTTCTCCCTTCTTCCCTCTCTCCCCCCCTCCTCCTCCTCCTCCTCCTCCTCCTCCTCCTCCTCCTCCTCCTCCTCCTCCTCCTCCTCTTCCTCCTCCTCCTCCTCCTCCTCCTCCTCCTCCTCCTCCTCCTCGTCCTCGTCCTCGTCCTCGTCTCACCCCTCTTCCTGGCCCCTCTCGCCTGTACGCCCAGTGTTCCAGGTGTTCGGGCGTTTTTCTGGCGGTTCTCGGCGGGAGAGATCCTGGCCTCGGCCCGCTCTCCAGCAGCTGCGCGTCGCCAGGGGCAGAGCTGACGGGAGGGAGGGAGGAGGGAGGAAGGGGGGGGCGGGGGAGTGATGATAAGGGGGGGGGGACCAGCGAGGAGGGGGAAGGATTTGAGGAAGGAAGACGACGGATGAGGGCGGGAGGGAAGGGAAAGAGGAAAGGAAAAGAAGGAGGAGGAGGAGAAGGAGGAGGGGGAGGAGGACTAGGAGGAGCGGGAGGAGGAGGAGGAGGAGGAGGAGGAGGATCGCCACGGCGCTGCCTACGGGGACCACCGAAGACGAGGAGGCGGATCAGGAGCAGGAGCAGGAGAAGGAACAGGAGGGGCGGGAGGAGCACGAGGAGAAGGGAGATATGGAGGAGGAACACTCCAGAAGCCCAGGCCTCGCGTCCTTCTCCGATGTCCTCTTCCCAACCCCTCCGACCCTCCCTTCCTATCTTCCACCCTCATCCGCCTTCTTCCTCGTCCTCCTTCCCTCGCCTCCTCTCCCTTCTCCCTCCCTCCCTTCTCCATCATGGCTCCTCCTTTAATTTCTCCTCCCCTTCCCCCCTTCCTCCTCCGATCCCTTCTCCTCCTCTTCCTCGTCCTCCTCATCCTCCTCCTCGTCCTCCATTCCTCCTACCCCGCCCACTCTTCTTCTCTTCTCACCTTCACTCCTTCCTTCTCCTCGTACTTCTGCTCTCTCCTCGCCGTTTCCCTCTCCATCCCTTCCAAAGCGGTTTTCAAAGATGTGAGCAGTGCCCACATTGTGTAAAACGTCTGGTAAGGCGGGGATTTGGTAGACGTCGAGGCGAGATTGCCGCAGACCTTTCGACTGGAGCCAAGACTCTGCACTCAGTGGACTCGTGTGTAGCCATGGACTTGTGCACGGGTGTCGAAGTGAAGCGTGAGGAGAAGACAGGGGAGGGGCGATGAGGGCTGAGGTGAGTGGCTCGCCAGGAGCGCCCGCACCTGCTGATGTGGTTGGCGTACAGCCTCTTCCACAACGGCGATTATAAGAAGGCCATCGACGTCTACGACGAGGCCCCCTCACAACGGGGAGGGGGGACCCTCGATGGAGTGGCAGGTGGCTCAATCGATCCGATTCGACATCGATTCTGGCCAGCCCTATCCGATTCGATTCTATGTCCCGAGGGTCCGATGCAGCCCGATGATTACGTGGCGTTGTTGTGCAGCTCGCGGCCGATCTGACTCGATGTCAACTCCGTGCCGACGCAGCCAGATCCGACGCAAGGGTTGTCTTGTAAGAGGTCCTGTGGCATGGCGAGGGACACACGAGGTCGAAGATTCCGCCCTGATTTCTTCACGACGCGAGCGGGTCAGTGCAGGCGCGGGCTTTTCTGCTCCTTGCCAGCCGGCAGGCGAACCTCACGTCGTCATCTTCTTTCCTTCTCCCCCTGTCTTTCCCAACACGCTTGTGCTGCTGGGTCCTCGTTGTGAATCGGCAGCACCGCGCATGTCATCACTCGGTCGGGAACTTTTGAATCCTCCGCCAGTTCTGGCCCACCACCCTTTGGAGGGCCACGCTATCCACTTCGCGGCCCCGAGGCGTCAACCTTCCGATCCTTTCCGAGCCTCCTGCCCCTCGGAGCGGAGCGACACGCCATCCAATTACAGGGCATAGCTTGTCGCCAGGGCCGCCGGGGCGAAGCGCTGTCCAAAAAAATCCCGGTCGTGGTCTCCTCGCCCTCCTGCTGCCCCCTCTACCTACCCTCGCCCGCCCGAGTGCCGCCCGCGAGGCTCTGGCGGAGGGCGACGACCCGCGCATCCACGCGTACAAGGCTTGCTGCCATTATGCTCTGACCGAGTACGAGGATTACATTCACCAGAGAAGACAGAACCACCACCACCAGCTAGTAGGGGGCTGGCCGCTCCTCCCCCCCAGCTGGTGGCAAGCCGTTCCAGGCGCGCCCTCCCTGGGTGCCCGGAACGGAATACCGCCAGGTCGGGGGAGGCCCTTGGGAACGGAGTTCTGCACATGGTGGTGGTGGTGGTGTTTCTTTTTGCTTTCATGATAGATGGGAGATCACGGAAGTTTCCGCCCGCCCTGGATTGGATGTTGTGCACAGAATAATTCTTAATGGCGTTCAGTAGCGCCAGATAGCGCCGAACAGCGCCCAAGAGCGCCCAGTAGCGCCGAACAGCGCTCAAACAGCGCCCAAAGGCGACCAATAGCTCCCAACAACGCAACGTGAGGGAGATAATGCATCCTGTCCGCTCTGCGCGAGATTCGGCGCGCTATTGAGCGCCCTGGAGACGACCAACAGCTTCCGTGAGCTTTTGTCTATAACGAGGAAGCGGAGGCCGCCGCCAAGCGGGCCCCCGACGACGACCTCAAGACGCGCATACTGTTCCGCGGGAAAGTCACGGGCAGAGTTGGGGGGGGGGGCTATAGGCCCGGGGAAGATGCACCGACCCCCAATCGCCCATTGCTCGCTGACAAGTGGCCACATTGCCCACCCTGCTCAGGACCATGCGGATTCGCTATTTGGGGCCTGTCGCCGATCTGTCGGCGATTGATCGCCGATTCCAGCTCGATGTTTGATCCCCTGAGCCAGTCTCTCCCCTAACGTTTCCCCTCAAAAAATAGGTTTCTCGTGCTCTCCCATCGCTCGAAGGAAGATAATATGTATCAGCGCAAGCTGCCGGGGGTCCGCGCGGAGTTCTGGCATCGGTGATGGGCCCGCCGACCATAGAAATCCGCGCGGACCTCCGAAAGGTTGTGTGTTTGTGCGGATGTCCATTTCCTCCTCTATTCTTCACTCGTTCTCGTCCCTCCCTGCACCCTGCCTGCATCGGTGCTTCCACGATCGAGCGTTTTTCCTGGAGGCGTCCTCACGGTTGCGGCTGGATTTCCTGCGAGAGGGAATTATGGCGGAAGAGTTTTCGGGGAGATGTTCAGGGGTGGGGTGGGGGGCTGGCTGGAAGAGCAAACAGTGGGATAGCAGACGATGTTCCTCTTCTTTCTTCTGAGATCCTGGCGGCACATTACCTCGCACAGGGCGGCTTCCCAGCTTTCCCACCCCGTCCCCCTACCACCCCGCCCCCTCGATCCCCCACCTCCAGGCGATGCCAGAGGTGTCCCCGAGCCCCAGTTGTCTCCCCCAGGGAGGCCCAGCCTTGGAAAGCTTCGAGAAGCCTTCTGAGAAGCCCCCTGGCCCTCTCAGAACCTCCTTCGCATCCTTAGGCAGCACCCCGCTGCCGCTAGTTACGCTGTTTGGCGCGTCGCCAGCTCTGGGCGCAGAAGGGGCCACAGTGATCTCCAGGGGTCCCGTGGGGTGCCTACGCGGATTTCAGAGGGGTATTTCCACAAGGCCTGCGAGAGCTCCACTGGGGTGGAGGGGGAAGGGTAGCGTGTGGCGCCAAGCACACATGTGACTGTGTCAGGTTCCACACCGCCCACAAGCGTAACGACGAGAGCGCGATGATGACCCACCACCAAGCGATCAGCGAGTCGAGGGAGGACCAGCTGTGCCTTGCGGCGATCCAGTACTTGAGGAGCCACTTCCAAGAAGCTACTGATATCTACAAGAGGCTCCTGGTAGACGACCGCGACCACTACGCGCTGAATGTGTACATCGCCTTCTGCTACTACAAACTGGACTACTACGACGTGGCCCTCGAGATACTGCAGACGTATCTGACGCAGTATCCAAACTCGATCACAGCGGTGAACCTGAAAGCTTGCTGCCACTACCAGCTGTACAACGGGAAGGCCGCGGAGGCCGAGTTGAAGGTGCTGCAGCAGGCGTCCGCTAGCGGCAACATCTTCCAGGAACACGACCTCCTGCAGCACAACCTCGTCGTGTTCCGCAACGGCGAGAACGCGGTCCAGGTGCTGCCCCCGCTCCTGGACATCATCCCCGAGGCACGGCTGAATCTGGTCATCTACCACCTCCGTACCGACGAGGTGCAGGAGGCCTACAACCTCATCAAGGACCCGCGGGGCTCGGAGGGCGGTCGGGCAGGCCGCGGCCGGGCCCAGGAGCGGTGGAGATCAGCGGGCTCGGCCGCGGCTGGCCCTTGCTGTCCAGCCCGGCCGGCGGACGGAGGGAGGATGTGCCGGGTGGGGCCACAGGACGAGGACGCATCCGTTCCAGAGAGCGTTCTGGGACGCTCTCATAGCGTTCCGGAACGCTCTCAGAAAGCCGCTTCGCCCGAGACAGCATCCCGAGCAGCCAGATCTCAGATATTCTCGATTCATCCTCACCCGATCTCATCCTCGTCCTGACTTCGTCGTAATGGGGGAAGAATCGGCTACACTCTCTACCATCTCGAAGGGGCCCAGCGGCAAGGTGAGGAAGCGATCGAGGACGACGAGGTCGACACATGAGAGTGGTGGGGGGGAGGGGCGAGGGAAAGAGGCAGGCGGCAGGGCTCGGGTACATGCAAGAGTGAGCCTTTGCCGGAGGGACCCTTGGTGCGCGGCTTCCTGCTGCGAGAGGGGGTGCGGTAGGTTCGCGTCGTGTCAACCGGCGACGACTCCAGCGCGGGCGTCTAAGGTTTTTTGCCGCCGTGGGCCCAGAATCGGCCCTTCGTTTAACAATCCAGCGTTTCTGAACCAGCCCAGCGTTCAAGTTTGAACGATCCCCACGGTGCCAGGAACCAACGCTGGGGTCGGCACGACGCGAACTTGCCTTGGGGGGGCGGGGCCAAAACCAATCGCGCAGGCCGCTGTTCGTGCACCGCCCGCAACGTCCGGCAAGTCGCGCGGCAGAGGTCACGTTTTGCCCAGGATCATTCATTATTCGGTCGCGCATCACGGGAGCCTTGTATACCCTCGCAATTATGATTCTAGAGTGCGCTCGCGGCAGTTTGCGTCTGGTCATCGATGAGATGGCGCCGACTGAACGTCGATTAGCATCGATTTCGCGTTGGCTTAGCATCGTGCTAGCGTCGACTAGCGTTGGTTCGCAAGAGCCAACAGGATGGTACGAGTCCCTTCCACGAGTTGCCACCGAACACCTGGCTCAGTGCATACACACTTCAGGGCCTCCGCTCCCTGCATGGATCGGCCAATCGGGTCGCGATGGCGTGCGTTCTTCACCGAGCGGCACCACCACAGATCAAAGGCCATTGGAGCGTCTGAGCCCAGTAGCAGCGACCACTGCAGCGACAACAGTCAGAGGAGGGCGAGTTGAGACAACGGTAATTTGCATTCCTGGGGCCCCTTGTCGCGACGGCTGGATGCAGCTCGGAAATTTGGTGCGTCTGGACCCAGGGAGGGGTCCGGTAACCGATTTTGAGAAGCGTGTTGTCTCAATTCGCCTTGCTCCGAAACAGCAGCAACACCTTGGCATCATCACCAAGGTATGCCGAGCGGCGGTCCACAGCCTTATCGGCCGTCGGCTTGACATATCGCTATGGCATGGACCGCAAGCCTCGAAGTGCGTAAGGAGTCAACACACAAACATCTTAAGTAACTTGCCTGAGCATCACATGCAGGATCCGATGGAAACTATTGCGATCTGACTTTAGAAGACACAGGACACAGCCAACAGCGCCACATGCGTGGCGCACTCACGACGGCACACAATGGCTCAACCAGTTGATCGGCAATGCCACGATGGCGCGCAAGGATTGACGAACTCGCTAGCAGCACTATCCATTATGATGTTTTACGCTTGGGCAACATCCCAGCAGCGATCAGGCAGGAAGCGCGCGCGAACCTAATACTGCAAATGCCACCCTGCAGATCAGCGCAACGCCAGCGATGTCGAGGAGCTCATCGGTAGATTTGGTCAGCTCTCTGTACTCGCCCGATCTAGCAACAATGCAGGCACTGACAGAAGGCGCCGCGCGCCACTCGCAGCGCACACAGACCATCCAACAGCAAAGCGAAATCAAAGAGCCTTCATTAGCTCGAAATCCAGCTCCAGAACATTCAATACCATATTCCAGCCATCTCGCAAGTGATCTACGAACATAACCTTACACATCATGACGCCGACGCCAGCTCCGCAAGTACGCCACGACGAAAACAGTCGAGCAGACTCAGACTTTGCAGAGCATCCAAGAAGAAGAGCAGCGTAGCAACGAGGATCGCAAGGACACAGTTGTTTTGCTCCAGAACCTGGTTGGCGCCGTCGTCAAGCTCCAGACAGAGCAGCTGTGGCTCGACAGAGGCCAGGCCGCATAAGCTCAAGGAAGACCACCACACCAGCAATAACGACGCATCAATGGTGAACTCCAGGAAAGGGCTCGCTGGTTTCACGCATGAACAAGGCATGCAAAACATGATGAGCTCTTCAAGGACGTGGTGCGAGGGCGCGCACGCTCGCGTCAGCGGTGGGTGGAGCTCGTCAGCACCCGCGCACGGGTCGAGGCGGGCCACGCGGTCCAGCAAGGGGACGACGCCAAGCCCGCAACAATTACGAAACCGCTCGCGGCCGACGCTGATATTGTGCTCGCGGCGCCAGGGTCGGGGCCGGGGGCGTCCAACAGAAGGTTGAGGCATGGGGCGTGTGGACAAGATTCCGCCACATAACAAAAAACAGACACCCTCCAATGGATTGATCCTGGGCCTCAGGGGAGCGTGGCGATGTATCAAGTCAACACTGGGCGCCAGGGACTTTGTACGCTGCCACCCTCCCTAAGGTACATGGAAGGTTCGTCGGAGGGTGTCTGTGTATATCCGCCGGCCCCCTTGCGGGTATTTCCGTGGCATTCTCATGGCCTCTCTGCCTCTGTCCACGCTCTCCTTAGTCTCCCATCCCCTTGCCCTCGTGCGCGCACATGCCTCGGGCCATGATGTGCTCACCCCCCTCTTCCTTGTCCGTCTTTCTCTCCGCGCGCCCGAAATGGCAGAAGGGCGGCCAAGCACATGAGGGGGACACGTCCTTCACACTCCCGGCCGAGGCAGATGCGCGGAGCGTCTGCGACGGGCCACGATTTCCTCCCTGCGCACTTGTCGCGCAGACGCGCTGGATCGCCAGTTCCCTCGTAAACGCGTCATTCAAGAAAGGGCATCGCCTTTGAGGATCGAACGAGTTGGTATATCTTCCTAGGCTGAAGGTGGCGCAAGTAAAACGAGGCCGCCTACGCCAGCGGAAGCTCGGAGGAAGGCGGAGGAAGGAAACATCGGCCGCCCAAGAGATGGTAGGGATTTTTGGTTCATGATTTTCGATCCCTCCAAACCTCTGTGGAACTCATTCTGGGAGAGGTCTGGGGAGTAGCAGTATCGTGCGAGTGCGCCTGGAAATGGCTTGACGTGAGGGTGAAGTCTTTGGCTGGCTGCACGGGTAGTTGAGGAAGTCTTGCGGGATGGGGGGCCCAGATGCTCGTTCTGGGGACCTCCCTGGGGCCCTCCTAGTGGATCTTTTCGGATCTAGTTCGACTCTACTTCGACGCCAGTTCAACTCAAGTTCGACTCAGGTTCGACTCAGGTTCGACTCAAGTTCGACTCAAGTCAGTCGACGGACGTTCGGCACAGTTTCGACGCACTAGCCGAGCGAGTGGCTCCAGGAAGGTCCCTAGAACGAGCATCGGAGGGGACGACCGTGTCCACGAGAAATTCTATTTGCGGTGAGGTGTGGGTGATTTTATCCGATAGAGCAGTGCGGTCAAGGACCTCGAGCCGTCAGTGCCCAGAGAATACATCCTCAAGGGCGTGGTGTTCGCGGCCCTAGGCCAGAAGACGAGCTCCCGGGAGCACCTGAAGATGGCCCAGCAGCTGTTCCAGCTGGTGGGCGCGAGCACCTCCGAGTGCGACACCATCCCTGGCAGACAGTGCATGGCCTCCTGCTTCTTCCTCCTCCGCCAGTTCGAGGACGTGCTGGTGTACCTGAAGTCCATCAAGCCGTACTTCCAGAACGACGACGACTTCAACTGGAACCACGGCATCGCCTGCGCTGCCGTGGGAGAGTACAAGGATCGGTGGAGGGCCAGATGTGACAGTCGGCGGCGGGCGCGGGGGGGAAATGAGAAGGGGCGGGACTTCCGAGGCTTCTGAGAAGTTTCTGGACTTCTTAGAGGGCTTCTGAGAAGTTCTGTCAGTGTTCGAAATAGGCCAAGGAAACGTCTCAGAAGCCCCCCGAACTTCTAAGAAGTCCCGCGGCCTTCTGAGAAGGCCTTCTCCTTCTCATTTCCCCCCTGGGCTCGTCGCCTAGACAGAGGCGGCCTTCCCGCCCGGCCCAGGTCCGCTCTCAAAGGTTGCCCCCCGCGCTCCTCCCGGCGTTCCTCCCGGCCAGTCTGTCGCGGCGGACCGGGCCGTGGCCGACGAGAGGCCTCCGGCAGGCCGGCAGCCAGGAACGAGAGAGGCCAGGGAGCCAGGAGGGGAACACGTGTACACGCAGAGGCACGAGGAGCTGCGACCCCCAGGAAGAGATGGAGAGTGGGGGGGGGACGACGAACACCTAGAAGATATTGGAACAGATGGGGAGCACGGGATTTGTGTGTGTGCATTCGTCTGTGTACGTGTGTGTGTGTGTGTGTGTCCCCGAGCTACTTCAGGAAGGGCCGCCGCTGCCTCGCCTGGCCCAGGGGTGGACCTAAACGGTGTTTGGGCGATTGCGTGGGCCGTTTTCGTCTCGATTTCGTTCTGCGTTCAAAGCGGACTGAAGACAAAACGAGGGAAAACGAAAACGAGCACGAAAAGCGCCGTTAGGTTCACCTCTGGCCTGGCCACTGCCCCGACAGGAGGCGAAGGAGGCGTTCCAGCAGATCCAGAGCGAGAAGCACAGGGCGGAGTTCTGCTACCTCAGCTGGCTCGCGAGGTGCTCTTGCCATGCATCTTCGGGGGGCATCGCCTGTCCTGCAAGTCGTTCGCTCTCGCGCGACATCGGCACGGACACGAAGGGAATTCGACACGGATTCGACGTGGTCCACACTGATTCGACGCGGAGTCGACGCGGACAGCGGCGCGATGGGACAGACAAGGCTCCCCCGAACATGAGACACAAGGTGCTACACCATGAGCGGCGAGCCGTCCATGGCCTGGGAGGTGTACACCAGGACGGGCGCTGGCAACGAAGCGGGAAGACGACTTGCTGATTGCGGCGCCTCCTCTCGTGCTGGGGGGGGGTCCTAGGCTGGTCGGGGCAGAGGGTGTTGTCGGGCGGCGGTAGGACAGGGAGAAATCATTCCAGAGCCGCGGGAATGCTCTCAGAGCCTTGTGGAGCGCTCAGAGAATGCCGCGGCGCTTTAGACATCCTCCAGGACAGCTGGGTCTCACAGACCTCCGCTCTTGTCCTGGCCAGCGTTTGTCCCTGCCTCAGCTTCGTCTCAGGCTGGGGTCGACCCCCTGCGCCCTGCGCTGTTGAGCACAGAGGGTCGGGTCCAGCCCCCTCGGCCCGCTTTGGGTTCGGCCGGGGCTCGCTGTTCCTTTCGTCATTCCGTGGTTGCTCCTCTGCCCTTCGTGCACGCAGGCGCGCTGGGGGCCAGCAAGGGGCCTCGTTCCTGGCAGTGAGCCCGCATAGTCAGGACGAGTGACTTTGCAAGAGTACCATTGCATCCTCCCCCTCCGGCCCATCCTCGGCCCCTTTCGCTGGCCGTGGAGGTTGGTACCCCCTGTCCATCCGCGCGAAAAAACAAGGGGAGGGGGAGCGTTTGCGGCAGGGGTAGATGCTAGGATGGAGACGAGTAACGAGTCGTTCAACCTGCTGCACCAGATTGCTAACGACTGCTACAAGATGGGTCACTTCTACTACGCCTGCAAGGCCTTCGACGTGCTGGAGAGACTGGACCCAGATCCCGAGTTCTGGGAAGGCAAGCGCGGGGCCGCCATCGGCGTGTTCCAAAAGACCATCATGGGCCAGGAGACCACAGACGTGCTGCAGGAGGTGGTCAACCTTCTTAGGAGCAGCAACAACCCGCAGGTGGAGCACATGATAAACAAGGTGATGAAGAAGTGGGCCCAACAGAACAAGGTCAGACTAGAGTGATCGCGTGCCCGAAAATCAATTTCCATTAGTATGAACTTCCGGCGCTCGGCGCGGCTTTCTTCGGTCGGCGCTGGCTCCCACTCCCTGGGTCGCCTCGCGCGCCAGAAACGGCTCCAGAGGCGCCGCCAAAGGATCCAGCGCCGACCCAAGAGGTCCGCGCGAACCTGCGAAAGTGTACAGTCAACCCGCATAGTAAGGATGAGCGACTTTCTATGGTTAGCCTCGCATCCTGCCCCTACGGTCCGTCTTTGGCCGCTTTCGCTGGCCGCGCCCTGCTCGAAAAGTGTCAACATGGCCTTCCAAGGCACTTGCTGTATTATCTGGCGTCCTTCTTGTACCGGTTGACTGTGTGCCTCATGCTGCCTGCTCTTGTGCTTCCCCGTGCCCACCTCACGCCGCCGCGAGGGCTTCGGGAGGGGCCAGACGACAGACGGACCCCACGAGGGAGCACCGTGCTGCAGGACGGCGTCCTGCAGGGACTGCCGCCTTGGTGTGCGCGCCACAGGGCTAAGGGCTCAGGGGCTGGGGGCCTCCCCCCCTATAAAAAGAAAACCCTGAGAGCTATGGGGCGGGCCTTCCTGGAGCTGGAAATCCTTCTTAGACTTCTGCGGGGCTGCAGGGGGGGTGACGGAAGGCCTGAGGGTTCCTGAGATGACCCGCAGTTTGCAATCAGAACGTTGTTGCAGGGTGCGCGCGCGCGCAACAGGGAATGAAGTGCGGTGGCCGCGCCCAGGGCCCTCAGGGGCGAGCCTGCGCAAGAGATGCGCAGCCGCCCTTTGCAGGCTCTGGCGAAGCGTGGGGCGGGACGGGGGGATGGAGAGGAGGGCGAGGAGAGGCAGGAGTACGAAGACAGGGGGGATCATGAGGAGGAGGACCAGATGGAGGAGGGGGGGGGAGGAGGGAGAGGAGAAAGAGGAGGAGGAGGAGGAGGAGGAGGAGGAGGAGGAGGAGGAGGAGGAGGAGGAGGGGATGAGGAGGAGGATGAAGTGAGTGGCATGGGGAGGGGTGGACGAAGAGAAGGAGGAGGAAAGGGAGGAGAAGGAGGAAAGGGAGTTGGAGGACGACGCAGGGAGGGAGAGGAAGAAGAGGGACATTTGGGGGATGAACAGAGAAGAGGACGAGCCACGTAGGACATAGGAGGAGGGGGAGAATTGGGAAGGGAGGAAGAGGAGGCGGAGGGTGGGGAAGAGAGGTGTAGGAATGATACGATTTGGAAATGATTAGCAGGAGGAGAAGGACAAGTAGGATGAGGAGGAGTCGGAGGGATGAGAACGGGGAGGGCGAGGAGGAGTATGATTGGAGAGTTGCTCGGAGGTGGCCCTAACCCCGTCCAGGTCCCACCGGAGCCCTCCGAAATGTTGAGTATCTCTATCTATCTGTCGGTCTGCTGGAGAGAGGGCAACTCGTTTCACATCAATGCATGTTTTCCGCGACTTGGTGTAGCGGCGCTTTGCTATGATTGTTGCATGCGTTACGCGGCGAGCGGATTGAGTCGCAAGACTCCCGCGCTTGCCTTTTTCACCCTCCCGTAGGACTGACGCCTTCTCCGTTTCAGCCCTATCCATGGATACTGACAAGAAAAGACCTTACCTTTGCAGGCATGGCGCGCTGCTTTCTCCTGAGGGGGCCTCGTTGCATGGGGGCACGGCGCCGCAGCCGCGGCTGGAGGCTGGAGGGAGGCTGGGGTGCGGGGGGCGGGCGAAGGAGAGGAGGGAGAGGTGAGAGGAGGTTCCTCTTCTCCCTTCCCTCTCCCTTCAGGAGGGAAAGAAACACACAGACACAATTAATCGTCGATCCCCAGGAAAATATGCGAAAATATGGGAAGTGGTGGGGAAGACAAAAAACCAGAAAATATGGGAAAATATGGGGAATCTTTTTATTTGTGTGTATTTATTGGTGTGTCCTGGGGCCCCTTTATCCCTCTCATCCTGGATCGCTCCCTGACGGCCCCAGGGCCGGGAGGCCGCCTGCAGAGGCCGCAGACGAGCAGATTCTGGCCGTCGCGGTCTTTGCTGCCTCGCCCGCACCTGAAGGCACAGACATCCGGGGCCGTCGCGTTTTTTTTGCGGCGTCGCCGGAATCTGGAGGCACAGACGTCCGACGATGTGTGTTGTGCCCCCTGCGCGGCCCCAGAGGTCTCGACTCCTCCCGCAAGAGGGTCAGTCTTCTGTCCCGGAACCTTTTCTGACGCCCCCGGGGCTGGATAACGGGCCATCAGCCGAAATCGTGGACAGGCGCCAGACATGGACACATATGGTTCATATCTATATATATATATATATATATATATACACACTGCTCATATCTAAGAATTCGAAAATTCTTTGATTTTTTGGGGGCCAAGATCCGTTCATTTCTAATTGTTCTATCATGGGCATCTTCCTGGCCTCTAGGGGGCCAGGAACATCAGAAACGAGCAAAAGTAGAAATGAGCACGATTAGACATGAACGACGTGTATATATACACATATACATACATTTTAACTGTATATATACATATAAATATGAGATGTATGATCTGATTTACAGACACTTTCCAGTGGATTGCTCCTGGGCCTCAAAGGAGGCCCATCGACTTCTTCAAACCACTACTCGCCGTCGGCTTTTTGCACCGCCACCCTCCCCGAAGGTATTGGCAGAGTTCGTCGGAGGACGTCTATGTGTATTTTTTCGTGGCGTAGATAACGGGCCATAAGCCGAAGTCGCGGACAGGCGCCAGATATGTGAAAAAATCCTCGTCGGAGATCGGGAGGAGGGGCGCTCGCGCGGCGCAGGCCTGGGACCGCATCGAGGCCTTCTGCCAGCGCCAGGTGGCTGGCACTGGCAGCTGAGGCGGCAGACGGCTCGGACGGGTCAGGCGGGCTTGGGGGCTGGCCCGTGGGTCAGGAGTGAAAAAAGGACGTACACGTACATGAATCTACGCTGGTTTTGAGAGTACGCATTGTGCAAATGTTCGTTTCACGCGGCCAGTCTCGCGGATCGAGGGGCCGTGTTCATGTACATAGCTGGGCGCGTACGTCCTTTGTGGGCTCCCTAGTGGGGGGGAGCACCCCCCGAGTGCCTGGTGATTGGCCGTTTTCGGCCTCGGGGGGCCCTCGCCGGACCTCCGCGACGGTGAACAAAAACGAGTCGGGACGAGAGCCCCGCCCGACGGGGAAGTGGTCCCGACCTCCGGGCCTCGGCACCGAAATTTCCTTGGAGCGGCCGGGTGTCTGGGGCGGCCCTTTCGTGCTTGTTTTTTGTGCCAAGGGCCGGGGATAGTTTTGTGTCCCGTTCCCGTTCCCGTTTTCCTTCCTCCTCCTCTTCCCCCTCCTCCTCCTCCCTCCTCCTCCTCCTCCTCCTCCTCCTCCTCCTCCTCCTCCTCCTCCTCCTCCTCCTCCTCCTCCTCCTCCTCTCTCCTCTCTGCTCCCCCCCCCTCCCGGGTGATCGGGCCTGCTTGCCTCCCCTCCTCCGTTTTTCCCCCTGATGACTTGACCCTGTCGGTTTGCGCAGATCCGAAAGGGCACAGAGTAGTGGTGCGGGTTGGCACAATTACGTGGGGCTGGCCAAAGCGAAAAGGATCAAGCCCAGAGGGCCTCTGTTTTGGGGTGGACAGACCTCCTACCCTGCCACGTCGATTAGCGAATTGGCCGTTTTCGGTTCGCGAGAGGGCGTCGCGGCCGTCATTTTTGCGAGTCCAGGTCCGTCGGTTTCGGTCCCAGGCCTTTTTTCCACTAAGGGGAGGTTTACTAAAGGGAGGTTTGTCCATCGCAGATTTGTGCCCATCGGTGCGTGCCGCACAGCGCTTGGCTGGACGCCAGGCCAAATCGCACGTGGCCGCCGCCGGACCACGCGGAGAAACAGCGGTATCCCTTCCACCCCCACCGCACAACCCAGGTTATCGCCGACACTGCTATAAAACGGTCTCGTGTAGATACCGAGCGGTGTTGCTCAATCCCGGTGTCTTTTCCACGACGTCGACCTCCCGGCCCGTTTCGTCGGGCTGGGAGCTTTTTTGGGGCCGCGCGCGGAAAAAATCACAACGTCGGATGCCTGGGATCGCCCACTCCTCGACAGTCGGAGCCCGGCCCCACCCACTCCGCGCAGGAGCGTGCGGCCTCGTTGTCGGGAGCCTTTCGCTGATCTATCGGCGGCGTGTCGTGGATTTTCATGCCACTGCCCAGTCAACAAAAAGTCTAGAGACCTCGCGCGGCCCGCAATAATAATAATAGTAGTAAGACGAACAGTAATCATAAGTATTCGAATACTACTGCTACTAGTACTAGTACTACTACTACTACTACTACTACTACTACTACTACTACTACTACTACTACTACTACTACTACTACTACTACTACTACTACTACTACTACTACTACTACTACTACTACTACTACTACTACTACTACTACTACTACTACTACTACTACTACTACTACTACTACTACTACTACTACTACTACTACTACTACTACTACTACTACTACTCTCAATGTGGATAATAAGAATAGCAATGATGATAATGAACTGCTCCGTACGTCCGTTCCGTTTAATCTATGGGTCGACGTTCGCGCGGCGAGGCTCCGACGACAGATCACTGGCCCGAGCCGCGAGTACGCCCGCCACCACAGCCACAGCACGACCACCAGCGAATCAGCAGAGCAGGTCAGCTCCAGCGCAGCCCGTCTACACTTGCCTGGGTGGCGCTGCCAGGGCCGCCACGGCCAGCAACAAAAACCACTGGCTCGGCCGCTGGCGCGAAAACCGCCACCACCGCTCGCACGAGCACCAGCGCGACCGCCAGCGGCACGATCAACACCACGGCCACCAACGCGACCAATGGCACGCACGACCAGCGCAACTACCAGCCCAACTATCAGCACGCCCACCACCGCGATCACCAGCACAACCACCAGCAGGGACGCATTCGAGCGTAGTCTATCTGCTACAGCCGCGATGCCGCGTCGCCAACCTTCGTGGCAACATGACGAAGGAAGCGGCCGCGGCGAGAGAGGAAG